TTTCCGCTTTTCACACCGTGTAAGCATTTCTACTTAATCAAGTTTTATTGGGAGTCAACGGTATCAAATGTTTTACAACTTATGTGTTTAAAAACGCTTCATCAGTCGTATACTCACGGAATCTATGTCAGTCACCAAAGCGACACTTGCCTCGTGAAAGCATAAGCATTTTTAAAGGAGACAAACCAAAGCACTACCCTCAAACAGACACTGCATGTTGAATAGCTCCCTAAGACTTAATAAAAGCCACTGGAGTGCAACACTTCGTTTCTGTGACCTCCTGTATGTCTGACGGTTACTTTAGCATTCTTCCAGTCTTTTGAAGAAAGGCCTGACTCTCGGGCCAGGCCGAAGCCCAATCCATTCTTCTCTTACTAGTTCATACGTATTCAGCTCAACTTAGTGCCTTCTGCTACCTAATGGAATTCTCACGGCGCTACAGGGGCTACAACATTCCAATCATGCATTCATTAGGTGTTTCATTCTCTTTTAGCCAATTCAGACAATCGAAATCCGAAATTTTCGTCGTTCATAAAAACTTCTCGAGCGCCGAAGTTGTATCTTACTAGGCCCTGCCTAAAATGAAGGTATTAAATTTCAAAATTTGTAGTATCATGTGAAAGCGATTTCACTGCAAGGAACGACTACGATCACTTATGACTAGAATTATTTGAAAATTGTCGGGTGTTGCATGGTGCTGATAATCCAGTACCGCAATAAAAATAGGAAAAGTCTATACTCACAGACGGTTGCTGGTACCAAACGGATCGAAAAGGTAACTTTCACAATCGATATGATCATTTGCACACTAAATCGCTTGTATGAACAAATAAATAATCACTAATAAGGAAAATATTTTCCCAACAACGCCAACACAGGGTTTGCTACACCAACAAAATTCGATACCACTGCGACATGTGGATTCAAGCTTAATACACAAAAGGGACAAGTGAGTAGCTTTCAGGTCTAAAACAGATTAAGGCTAAAATTCAGAGTAAAGACTATGTGCTAAGGATAAACGCTTGAGCACATGAACCTCGAGCACAGAAATGAGGCTCGCACCTTACTCAATCCTTTGTAAAATGACTATGATTTCTGCATCAGACAAGTTGATTTGTCGAATGCTTTGCAAGATGCTCATGAAGTGTGACATTGCGAACCAAATGATGCTCCTCAATTTCTTTAAAAAAAGCTTTACGATTTACTTAGGGTGTTGAAAGCCACCCGATGATGGGACCACGTCGTAGACACAGCTGAATGATGGTGGAAGCTTTGAGCCAATGGCAATCGAAATAGCAGCACCTCGCACCTGTTCACACGTCTTCACGACGGCCAACGCTGCCGCGGTTGCATCCGCCATCGCATGTCCAGCTCAAGGTCGTCCTCCAATTGGTCAATCTCGCCTACGCCTGCCTTTCATCGCAGCCCGAGTGGATCGAACAGCCACAGGATTCACACATTAGGACGATTGAAACCATCATGGCTCTGACATGTGGAGAACAGTGCCTTCGAATTCTGCTCGTTGTTTGCAATCTCTTCGTCTTTGTATGCATTTCCCATTTCATGCCTTATACCGTATAGTTGTTTGGATGCATTTGCACGGGATTCGCGGCGTACACGTTGGCTAAAGTTAAGGAATATACAAACGATCAATGGGCCATCGTCATTCCTGCCTTTATCCTAGCCTTGGTTCTGTTAATACTTCTTCTTGGCTTTCTGGGGTGCTGTGGGGCTTGGAAACTCAATTCATGCTGTCTAAAAACGGTAAAAGTAGAGTTTTTAACTTATTTGCAAATAGTACGCAGCTATTATCACAGTACTGATCATCATTGAGGTCATCTGTGGAATTCTAATACTAGTCTACCACGACAAGGTATGCTTTAATATATCGACTTCGCACTGCTAACACCTCCACCATTATCACCTTAAACAGGGTAAAGACTTCATTGTCAGGTTCTTGAAGGAATGCATTAGAGACGCTGAAATTCCAGGCAACATAGAAATGGAAGATATGATGCGAAATCTGCAGGAAAAGGTGTGTGCGAATTGAATAACAAGTTTCTTGTAGTTTGAGTGTTGTGGTGCAGCTGGGCCTATGGATTGGTCAAATCCAACCAAATACTGCGATAGGCACGGCGGTCTCATTTCCAACGTATCGTCTATTTTTAAACGGGTAAGTGTGTGCGTTCCGCTCAGAAGACTTACCATAATCTGTTAATCACATCTGTTGGTGCAGTTTTATTTGGTCCTTAACATTGCTTAAATTCATGATGCTAACGTGGTATTTAGGGCTGTTGTAGAACACGTAAAATGACCATCAGCTAGAGCATTTATTGTGGTTTTGCTCTTAGAGCGACCTTTTAACGTGAGACCTCATGCTATATCGACACACACATGGGTATCTGGATGCAGTAATACAACTCCACAAACTAAGCTTTGTAGGTTCACCTATGCATGAATCTAGCTCACATGCATAGTGTCCACTAGGGTTGCGCGGACGCCATCTACGAGTACCTGCGAAGCCATGCGATCGTGGTTGGAGTGACAGCTATAGTACTTTCCATCATTGAAATTGGGGCTGTCTTTGCTGCATGTTGTTTGGCTGGCAAGCGGAGTGCCTAAGCACAATAGAGAGCTGAGCCTCGTGACATCCTCCGCAGGAAGGAGAGAGAAGTGTGTGACCATTCATCCCAAACACCGCCTATGATTACAACCTTTTGTGTTTAATAATTTCAACTCCTACTCCTAATTAACCCGTCACACCATAATTACATTTTATGTTACAATTACTTCCTCGATCTTGTTGTCTGGGTATTCAAACAGTTCCGCCATTGGATACACGACCTTAAGGAGCCTCTTAAACTGCCTAAACACTAATAGTGAACTTTTGTACACTACCCAACGCCTCATTTTCTAACGAAACGAAAATCTCTTCACGTAGTCCAACCATCTTGAAACACAAACTTTTTACGCATTGTAAAATCGTTCACTTGTTGTAAGCCACCCCAGTGCGATCGAATATTTGCGCGTTTGTCTACTTGTTGAGCCGGCCTTCCTAAGTTGACCCGATAATGGTATCGCCAGCGAACGTCACAAAATCTCGGACTGAAAACGCACTGAGATCAGTAAAAGCCATGGTAACTAGTCTGTCCAGCCGATGGTGATCAAAGTGTACGATTTTCTTTTATGTTCGGAAATACCCACTATCGGTTAAGAACAATAAGAAGTAGTTAAACCTAGCTTTGAACGAAGTCCGCTGCTTTTCAAGAGTTTTCAGTAAATGGGTAAGGGATGATTCTAATGTCCTTTGAATTGGGCTCAACCGCGCGAGTATAATCGTGATTCATTAAACAACATTAGGGACTACCAAAGTGAATCATACACGGGGTCGGGCGTCAATGCAATCACTAACTAGGTAATGATGCTATGCCGACTTCGCGGTCAAGTTACTGTTTTGCTTCAAGTCGCTGCCTTCACTAGCGTGTATGAAAGTAGGCGCGTTGTTCACGGTTTGATCTCCATGTGTTCG